ATATGTATGTTATTAATTTTTTTGAAATAAATATAAATATTGAATCGAAATTAGTGAATTCTATGGAACCGAAACCTATACACCATTAAAACGCGTCATTTAGCAAATGGAATATTTGAGTCAATGTGAACATGCAAACCATCAATAATTCAAACTAAACTTTCACACGTTTTCATCTTTGACCAAATTCTCTTTTTTATATATTAAAAAATAATAATTTCAATATCCATCAATTTATCACAATTTTTTTTTAAAATCTTCATTCTCTTCATCTCCATGAAAAATCTAGGCAAAAAATTTCCTTCTTTTCTTCAAAAAAATGAAAACAAAAAAGAAGAAAAAGAAAAATATCAAAATTACCTCACAAATGGAAGTTCATTACTAGAAGAACAACTTTCATTTTGCAAAAATGGCCACCATAAAGTCCCCCTAAGAAGTTTCACTGCAGAAGAAATCATCAATTCAACAAATGGATTTCAAGAAAATGTTGGCCCCTACTTATACAAAGGTAATTTCAATGAAAAAAAAGTTCTAGTAAAAAAATACGATGGAAAAAAGAACATGAAACGTCAGCACGATCATGTCATACGTGATATAGTAATATCTAGTGAAATGAGTTACCACAAAAATGTCCTTAAAATTATAGGATATTGTTTAGAGTTTGAAAGGGTAGCTTTAATTTATGAATATTCACAATTTGATTATCTTTTCAATTGTATTCAATTTTTGACATGGGAAAAAAGAATGAATATTGCTATAGATATTGCAAGTGTGATTCTATATCTTCATATTGAATTTCCAAGACCAATTATTCATAGGAATTTAACTTCACATAATGTGATTTTGGACCAAAATGGGGTTGTAAAATTGTATAATTTTGAATGTTGTATACCACTTCCTATTGGTAAAGTACAAGTTCAAGATGATTTAATAGGGACAATTGGTTATTTAGATCCTGAGTATGTGTGGTCGAGTAAAGTTACATTAAAATCAGATGTTTTTAGTTTTGGCTTATTTTTACTTGTGTTGTTGAGTGGGAGAGAAATTAGGGTAAATCATGAGGGAAAATATTATAGTGAAGATTATGGTTTGATTTCTTTGGAAAATTATGCAAAAATATGTGTTAAAAATAATAAATTGGAGGATAATATTATTGATTCCAAGATTTTGCAAGAGGAACAAAAGAAGTTGCAGGGATTATTGAATTTGGCTTTGAGATGTGCTCAAAAAATTGGAGAAAATAGGCCAAATATGATTGATGTTGCTAAAGAGCTTCAAAGAATCAAGAAGGGTGAGATGCAAGAATTGTTACCTACAATGGAATGTCTAATTGATTGGAATTGAAATATTTGAAACATAGATTTTGTTTTAAGTTCTATGTGAAGTTAATATTAATTCATAACATATGTGATAAACATTGTGATTTTTTTATATATATCATAAATGTAATATCTTATATGTACCCCTTGTAACTTGTTCTCTTATTCTCATGAAAATAAAAGCAATAATTAGTACTCTGTTTGGTCAAGCTAGCGAAATTAGTTTATTTTGAGAAGTATTTCTTATTAAAAATATTTCTTTTTTAGGAAATTAGTAGTTTGTGTTTGGTTAAATCATTTCAGAAATACTTTTATTAGTAATATGTGTTTGGCCAATGTTTTTAGAAAAATATTTTAAGTGTCAGATTGCGAAAAAGGGAAGTTATAACTAATTATAATTTGACAAATACTCCGTTCACTTTTACGTGTTACTTTATCCTAAAATAAATTTTTTATTTTTACTTTTCACTTTTGAAATATCAAGAAAAGACAAAAAAAATTTCATGTTTTATTTTCAACATTAAATACTTATTCTTCAAATCATTTTTCATGATAATACTAAACATCATTTAATAGGGGATAATTTGATAAAATCTTATATCAATAATTATTTTTTTAATGAATGTACCACGCCAAATAGTGAAAAGTAAAAATGAACTGAGGGAGTATATTTTTAGACATGAAATACTAGAAGCATTAATTTTGGGGAGAAATCGTTTTTCAAGCTTCAGGTTAAAAGTCAACTTCTATTAGTCAAAAATATTTTTTTCTATACCAAAAGTCTGGTTAAATATCTTCATTCTCTATAATATTTTAAAAAAAAAACATAAATGCTTTTAACATTTAAAAACTTGATTAGACGAATTATAGATACAGATTTTTTTTAAAATTTTTGTCAATACAATCGCTTATGACCTTTTTATATAACAATAATCTTCTATAATAGTTACTTTTTTAGAATCAGTTTTTTATATTATGTTATAGCGATACATATTCTTTAGGGAAAAGGGTCAAAAATGCCCTTATACTATGTGAAAGGAATAAATATGCCCTCCGTTTATAGTTTGGCTCAAAAATGCCCTTACCGTCAATACTTTGGCTCAAAAATGCCCTTGCAGTCAATACTTTGGTCCAGAAATGCCCCTATAGTTAAAAAAAATGGGTCAAAAATGCCCTTTTCTGAATAAATATATTGTTTTTTTTCTTTTTAAACACATATTTTTCCTGATTAAAATATTATTAAAGAACACTATTGTTGTTTTCTTTCTTTTAAAATCACTTTAACAAATAAAAGTGTAGGAAATATTTTTTTTCTTCTTAATCTCATTTTATCAATTAAAATAGAATAACTTCATGTACCCTTTCGACAAATAATATATGTCATATATATATACTACCATGGTATATCCATCATTAATTTATATTTATATAACGATAAAAAATAATGATAATAAAATAAGAAATATTTTCATTTTTTATTTTTTTCTATATTGAAGTAAGATAAACATTTGCTAATTTTAAAAAAACATTCATTGAAAAAGAATGTGTCAAAAAGAAAATAATAATATATTTATTTGGAAAATGAGTCTGACCAATTAAATAACAATAAGGGTATTTTTGGACCAAAGTATTGACGACAAGGACATTTTTGGATCAAACTACAAGCGGAGGGTATTTTTGTTCCTTTCGCATAGTTTAAGGGCATTTTTGAACCAAAGTATTGACGGTAAGGGCATTTTTGAGTCAAACTATAAACGGAGGGCATTTTTGTTCCTTTCACATAGTTTAAGGGCATTTTTTAGCTAAACTATAAACGAAGGGCATTTTTGTTCCTTTCACATAGTTTAAGGGCATTTTTTAGCTAAACTATAAACGAAGGGCATTTTTGTTCCTTTCACATAGTTTAAGGGCATTTTTTAGCTAAACTATAAACGAAGGGCATTTTTGTTCCTTTCACATAGTTTAAGGGCATTTTTTAGCTAAACTATAAACGAAGGGCATTTTTGTTCCTTTCACATAGTTTAAGGGCATTTTTTAGCTAAACTATAAACGAAGGGCATTTTTGTTCCTTTCACATAGTTTAAGGGCATTTTTTAGCTAAACTATAAACGAAGGGCATTTTTGTTCCTTTCACATAGTTTAAGGGCATTTTTTAGCTAAACTATAAACGAAGGGCATTTTTGTTCCTTTCACATAGTTTAAGGGCATTTTTTAGCTAAACTATAAACGAAGGGCATTTTTGTTCCTTTCACATAGTTTAAGGGCATTTTTGACCCTTTTCCCCATAGTTTAAGGACATTTTTGACCCTTTAACAATATTTTTTTATGACAACTAAAAGACATTCAAACAAACAACATCGTTATATTACCGAACAAAAATGATTAAAGATTACAAATATTATCACCAATCATAGTATTTGGTCAAAGCCCATGATGGTGGATTAACCTTATAGGCTAAGTAGAACCCATCTGATTTTACCAACCAATAACATGTATCAGTTTGATCACCTTTTGCTTGTTTAATACATGTAATTGAATCATCAAATACATTAAAAGTTTTCTGTTTTCCATCCCACTCAAAGTCACAATAAAAAAGAGTAGATCTAATAAAATTCTCATGAAATTTGAAACTCCAATTTTGTCCCGGAAGAAGTTCGTGATTTCCAAGATCATCATCCTTAGATTGACAGTGAAAATTCAATTTTGCACTTGGATTCTCCGGGAGAGCACTAGCAATATACACATGATATGTTCTTTGTGAGAAACTTGTAACTTTATGGAGAGTGAATGAAAATAAAAACACGAAAAGTAAAATTTTCTTCATAGAAAAACTTATTTCAAAATGTATTTGAAATTTTATTTTATTTTCAATTAGAGAAGTTGAAGTTTTATACTTATGTATACTTGGAAGTTGGGAAGTTGAAAGTAATTACATCTTGACCAGATTTGTAAATTCAAAATAAATTTAATGTTTTTTCCCCTTTTAGATGAAAGAACAAAAACAAATTTGTTTGTAACGAAGTTTATATTCAACAAATTTGTAGGCATTATTTAGGGAAATGAAGAATTACATTAGAATTTATCAAAATCAATGTTATGAGCTTTCAAAATAAAATGAAATTTTCACAAAAGTTCAAGTATAAACATCTAAGCAATTCAATTCATCTTTCACTATATAAATTAAACACCCTAATTTACAGAATAATTATCTAAATACTTATAAATATATGTATCATATTAACATCAGATATCCACACAAAATAATATAGACAAGTTAAAATCTTTAGTTGCTAGTTATGATTAAATTATTGTCTATCAAACAATTACATTATTTTCTTACGTCGCCAAATCCCCAAGTGAAAAATGATATTTTATAATCACTTACAAATTAAATTAAACGACATAAAATGCTTTTTTCCTATATCTCTCATATGTAAAAAATAAAGACATATAATACATAAATATATTATTTAACTTGATTTTAACGAACATCTATATCCTTCAATTTTGAGTATATATAAATAGACACGTAATTTATATAAAGTTTAACAAGTAAATACATACATCGTATATAATATAACGTAAAAACCTATTAGAAGCCCCGTAAGATAACGATAAGACACATATATCTAAAATACACGTAGACCGCCAACTAGGATACATATGTCTAAAATACCCTCATATTTCTTTCTTCTTCTTCCCCAAAACACCTTAAACCCTAAAAAAAAAAAACCTCAAAATCTAGCATTTTTTCTAACACATTTCTCAGCAAAATGGGGAAAAAGCAGCAAAAAAAGGTCCAAAATCAAGAAGAATTGCTGAAAACATTGGGAGATTTCACAAGCAAAGAGAATTGGGACAGTTTTTTCACTATCAGAGGTTCAGATGATGCTTTTGAATGGTACGCAGAGTGGTCTCAGCTCAAAGAACCACTTCTCTCTAATCTCACAATTCCATCATCAAACGATGCCGTTTCTGCAAAAGAACTGCAAATTCTTGTTCCGGGTTGTGGCAATTCGAAGCTCTCTGAGTATCTCTATGATGAGGGGTTTTGTAATATTACTAATGTTGATTTCTCTAAAGTTGTTATTTCGGATATGTTGAGAAGAAATATTCGGTCTAGACCTGTTATGAAATGGCGCGTCATGGACATGACGAATATGCAGGTAGATTGTTATGTTATATTGGAAATGGTTAATAGCAGCTCAATAGAATAGGGGGTCTAAATCCAAAATATCTTGTTATAATTGTTGTTGTAGAACATGGTCGGTGAGGATTCATACAGTGTTATAGCAACTAAGGCATAATTGTTATGAGTTTATATCTGAGTAACATGTTCAGTGAGGATTCAAATAGCCGATCCTAACTTGTTTGAGACTGAGGCGTTATTGTTGTTGTTTGTTATTTTGGTACATGCTAAGAAGTTTGATGCCTTTTGGTAATGTTATTTGATAGCTTTCACAAAATTAAAAGATTGAATTTTTTATTTTTGAATTTGGATGGTTAGTTTTCTCTATAGAACTAGATAGGCTGCTTTGAAGTTTTGGAACTTTTGAGTTTGCAAATTCAGTTTTTGAGCTTTTGTTAGAAGGTTTATTTGAGTTGAATCTTGAAAAAGCTTACCTTTTTAAAGAGATATCGGAACTCAGGTTTTCAATTTACAAAAACTGAAAAGGTCCAAAACTAGTTTTGAATTAACAGTCAAATGGTGGCACATAAATGGGATATAAAAAGTATAGTTTTTAATACAATAGAATGTATATTGTATATCATGCATTTTCTGCTGTCAAGAGGTCAAAAATTGTCATTTTTAAAAAAACAGGTAATAGTAAATTAGTAATGCATTATAACATGAAGTGTAAATCTGTCACTAAGATGGTACGAAGAGAAAAGATGTTATCTTTAAGCAGTAGATGAAAGAAAAAGGTACCATTTAGTGACAAATTTTAGCTTTCCTGTAAATGTTGGTGGGGCAGAAATTTAAGCATTTGATGGGACAAAAATTGTGAATACATTTTCAAGAGAGGATGAATGTTCCCACTTATCAAAAGAAACCAATAAAAAAGAATGAAAAAAAAAGAACGGTAGTACTTGGGGACATAAATAACCTGCCATGTCCTGTTTCTGGTGCAATGTTGCTTACTTGTTGGCTGTTTGTCAAGGATGCTTCTTAATTTGCAAGATGTTTCTCATGTTTAATAGTTTTTTCTTTTGGACTATATTCTCCTCTAAACTATTTTTGTTATGATTTAGTTTGCCAAGGAGAGCTTTGGTGCCATTCTCGACAAGGGAGGATTGGATGCTTTAATGGAGCCTGAGCTTGGATCAAAGTTAGGAACTCAGTATTTGTCTGAGGTGTTCTAAAAATAAACTTGATTCTCATTTTTAATCATTACACTCATTTGATGTATGCTCTCAAAATATTATCGTTTTTATTAGGCAAATGATCAAGTCCGCTGTGTTCTGACTCATGCCTAAATGTCCTGAAACTGACCAGGTTAAAAGATTGCTAAAAGTCGGGGGGAGATTTATTTGCCTCACTTTGGCAGAATCTCATGTATTAGGTAATCAAAATCTCTCCTGGCATATTTATGCGTTTTGGCTCCTTATGATTCAACCTATACCCGTTACTGTTATACATTGTTCAAGAATGACCATTCTATTGCTTAATCCTTCTCTTGTAAGGTTTACTCTTCCCAAAGTTTCGGTATGGGTGGAAGATGGGGATTCATCCCATTGCTCTGAAACCATCTGACAGGTCAAGCCTACAGACTTTTATGGTGGTAGCCGAGAAAGAAAATTCTCCTGCTTTGTGCCAAATATCGTCAACTGTTGATCAGTCGTCCTTTGGTGGTCTAAAGAACCAGGTAAAGGCTTTCATCCCATATGGTATTTTCAATTGCTGGCTCACTAAGAATGCTTATACATACACGTGAATCGTGATGAGATCTTGGGATGCTATTCTTTCTACTTTACAGGTTCATGGACTCTTTCAAGCACTTGAAGATGAAAATAAAATACGTGCAGATTATTCCAGTGGTTCTGATATAACGTATGCACTAGAAGACTTGAAAATCGGAGTTGAGGGAAATCTGGCAGAGCTATGTCCAAGTCGTAGAGTTCAGCTTAGTTTAGGTGAACCTGGGGTTTCCCTTTTCTGTTACAGAGCTGTGCTTCTTGATGCCCAAAAGGACTTTGGACCTTTTGCATATCAATGTGCTGTGTTTCTTGTACCAAAGGTTTGTTTCCTCCACTTTCATCAAGTTGCTTGTTAAATTATTATATTTTTCCAATGTTTAAGCTGACCCTCTTTTGGAGTTCTCTTTTTCTTCTGGTAACTGGTGTTTCATCTACTAAGAAAAGATTAAGACTCCCTTTAGATTCAACGTCAATAACCTTATTTAACATGGTTCCATTTTTAATGAGTCAGAAATTGGTACTATCAACTATGCACACTGTTGGATAAAGAGATGGAACAGATATTACTTTTTGGATTTTCGTCTATTTAATTTTCTGACAAGTACAACATTGAGTCATTGAGAACCTCTCTGTAGATGGATGATGATATTTCCGGTATGGGAAGATGACATAATTTTGTGTTGTTTTATAATATTCCCTTTGGCCTATGGATTTGTATGTTATAATTTGTATTTCAGTAAGTAAATTGTTGCCCTCTTTTTGTCTGTTTATGAACAGTTTCATGTTGTAGGTAATTTTCATTTCTTACTAATCATGTCCTTGTTGTTTGCCTAACATAGTTGTTTGCGCCGCCAATAGTGTGGGAAAGTCGTGTTAAATGGAAATTTTAAAAAAAGTCATGTTAATTGGAAATGAAAAAAGAAAATTTGGACTGTCGACCTAATTTGATGTTATGTTTTGTGACTCTATGTCCTTAGATCATAGTTCATTAGTTTTTTTTTTGAGGCGTATAGGAATTTAACTGATATTTAGATTTCAGACTCGAGCTCATGAGTGGCTGTTCTCTTCAGAAGAAGGACAATGGGCAGTTGTAGAAAGCTCTAAGGCTGCTCGTTTAATAATGGTACTCATTCATTAAAATGCACTTGTTTTACTATTTTGTTATCTTTGTAAAACTTTGATGGAGTGGATTGTCAATTGTGTTCTTAGATTTTGTTGGATTCTAGCCATTCAGATGCCAATATGGATGACATTCAGGTGACTTTTGCTAGATTTTGTTGATATATTGTGTTGTGTCATCAGTTGATGAAAATAGTGGTTTCCTATCAACTTAGTTGCATATTCCTTTTTTTTTAATCCAGAAAGATCTCTCTCCTCTGATAATGCAATTGGCGCCGGGAGATTTTGACGATGAAGCTCAGATACCGTAAGTTTACTTCTCATAATTTACCTTTAGCTTTAGCCATCTACCTTAATTGATATAACATAGGTTATCAATTTTAAGGGAAGTTCTTGAATTTAACTTGTGGATAGTTCCTTCATTATCCATTACCAAAATATGGCTACCCAAATATATAGAGCTGAATGGGTAGAAAGTGGTCTATTGTCTTATCAATCAATTCAACTGGTTCCTATTGTCTGATCGATTAATTCAACTAGTTCCTAGCGTAGTTTGCACTCCCAAAACTCTTAATATATAGTCAATTCTTTCAAGCTGTAAATGTACGTCTTTAGTGTCTCCATCATAATGTCCAACACTGTTTTAGATCCCTTTTTTTTTTTTTTATAAATGTTGGTCAATGGGTTAGCTGGAACGCTCCCTCGATTATTTCACTGTGTACCAGTTACCCCCCACCAGCACTGTTATCAAGTAATATCCAATGCTGTTTTAGTGCTTCTCAAATGGTTTGAATAATAACTTTGCCTACATAGCAATAAGTTCAATACTCATATAGCAACAAATGTGTTTCTAATATTGGGAAGTTTAGTTACAGTAGGTTTTTGTACTTCTCTCAGTTTTATGGCTGCAAGTGATGGAATCAAGCAGCGAAAGATTGTTCAAGAGGTCAGTGAAAATTCTTTAAATCAATTATCATTACGTAATAGCATTCGTATGATTGTTCTTATTGCCCACCCATTTCTTTTATCTGTCATTTTACTCTTTTTTTCTTTGCAATAAGTTGAATAGCTATGATTTTGAATTTATCTTAATAGGTGCATAACATTTTATATTGTTTAAATGGTTTTGCCTTTATAAAAAGTTTTTCACCTTAGTTTGTAACCTATTTTACCTATTACATTGTCTTTTGTAGATCACATCTCCCTTGACTGGTCCAATAATTGTAGATGATGTGATCTATGAGAAAGTTGATGACAATATTAGCCGCCTCTTTGCGTCTGATGATGTGATATTTCGTCGCCTTACTTTCCAAAGAACGGAGAGTTTAGTTCAATCTGAGGCTGTGCTATCAAAAGAAGGATCACCGAAGTCTGTAGCTGATATTAATCAGAAGACAGGCCAGTCATCTTCAAAATCCAAGAAAGGAAATCAGAAAAAATCTGGGTCTAATGTCTCGTCATCTGATGGTAGCTATACGATCCTTCATACTGTTAAGCCCTCTTTTTTTCATTAAACCTTGCCCTATTTCTAATTTATATGATATGTTTCGAATAGTGGAAAGGAGAACTGAAGCCATTTGAATGTACTTATGACATTTATTTGAAGACATCAATTCTAACTTTGAGTCAGTATGATGTGCAATTAAATTAATTCTTTTGCAGGATTGAGCAGCGATTTGAAAGTTGACCACAGTTATTTGGCCAGTTCATATCATACTGGAATCATCTCTGGTTTTACATTGATATCTTCTCATTTGGATGGTTTGGCATCTACGGGAGGCACGGTAAGAAGTCAACTTGTATCTTTTTTTCTAAAAAGAAAACTTGCATATACGAATTTTGTCATTTATACTAACCAAAACATCTCTAACACATTGTGTAAAAACAACTCGACAGAACGTTAGGTTAAGCAGCACTCTATCATACTAGAGTACAGAGTACTAATTAACTGGTTGCTGATGAAACATAACATAAACAACATATGAAATCAGAACCACACTAACCTAAATGGCCACTGAGCAAATTTATTGTGCTAAGACTGCACATCCTGCCGTTTTCCATTACGATTATTGCAAAGCGAAGTTAGAATAAAGAACCATAAGAATACCGTAATAGAGTTCTAAAATCTGTCCTTAACGCACAAAAATGCATAGTCATCCACCCACCCACATATTTATCCATATTGAGAAGAACACAACATCTATGAACTAGAATATCGCTTCAGTAATTTTATACTAACTTATGTGAAGCTTCTAGTCCATCTTGGGAAGTACAGGTGATGCTTTAGCTAAAGCTGCAATTGTCGCTTTTTTCAGGTGAGATCAGTAGTAATTGGTCTTGGAGCAGGATTGCTTCCCATGTTTCTATGTAAGCACCTGAGTTTTGCAGAGATTGAGGTAAATTATGGCTACCTAAATGTGCCACCTTTAAATTATTATTTCTTACCTTGCCAAACTGGTTCATAATGATATTCACAGGTTTTGGAGTTGGATCCTGTGGTTGTAGATCTTGCTAGAGACTATTTTGATTTTAGAGATGATGAACGATTAAAGGTAATTTACAGTCTTCACTCCACCTTTTCTTACTTCCGTTCCTTCTCCTCCTCCTCCCCCCCTCCCTCCCTCTCTCTTGCTTATTCCTCATTAATAAGTTAATAACTAAATGCAATTGTAGACAGTATCAACAACATACCCAGTGTGATCCTATAAGTGGGGTCTGGGGAGGGTGGGGTGCATACAGACCTTATCCCTATAAGAGGGATCTGGGTTTACAGACTATTTCTGATAGACCCTCGGCTCAAAGTGTAAACCTTATTAAAAAAAAGAAAAGAAAACTAAATGCGATGCAAGATACAACATTCATTCAAGATCACCCAAGATTTTCAATCGATGTTTGACTATTCTTGGTGGCAACTTTCTTATGAATAAAAATTCCTAGGTGAATACAATAGCTTATTTAGAGGTTTAATAATAAAAAATGTGATTTTAAAAAAACCATATGTTGCATTGGGTCACCCGTATCTCTTATAAATAATATAAGAAGTGTAACTCAGAAATCAGATGCTTGGGAAACCTTATAACTGTCTATCTTTTATTAATGTCTTTGGTGTTTCAGGTACATGTGACTGATGGTTTGAAGTATGTCAAGGATGCAGCTCATGCAGTTACCAATGGTTATGAAAATGATGTTTCTGAGGCAAAGGTCCCTTCTTCCAATGGTAATTCCATCCCGTCTAGTGCACCACTTAAAAACACAGAAAAAATCGACATGCTCATTGTTGATGTGGACTCTTCAGACTCGAGGTATATGGCCTATTCACTATATATTTCTTCTTATATACGTCTTTTTCGCTATATCACCAACTTCAGTAGCTAATTGTTGGAACTTTTTCTCTTGTTCGCAGTTCTGGTTTAAGTTGTCCTGCTGCGGACTTTGTTGAAGAGTCTTTCCTTGTGGCAGCAAAAGATTCTCTTTCTGATCAAGGTTTATTTGTCATAAATTTGGTAACAAGGTCACAAGCCATCAAGGATTCGATTTACTCCAAATTGAAGTCGGTGAGAATTAAATATTTGCATAACTTTTAGTTGCCATATCATATGAATTTGAATTTGCTTAGCTACCTAATAACTATGTTGCTCGGACTTTTGAAAAATGTTGCCGCACCCATGTCGGATCCTCCAAAAAATATAGTTCTTTCGGAGGATCCAGCACACACCCATCACAACATATTTAGTCTGATTATCTGTTGGCCAACTTCCATATGTTGGTGCTTTCTATTTGATAACAGATCATCGATAATGCTCTATTTAGCAGTCGCGCCATTAGATGAAATTAGCTTAAGCTCACATGACTTAAGATGCTTTATCTGAATCACATTGTGTGTGTTTCTCCAGGTATTTCCTCACCTCTTCCACCTTCAGCTGGACGAAGATGTCAATGACGTTATTTTCGCTCTCAAGACGGAGACATGTATCACGGAAGATAAATTTCATGAGGCTTCTCAACAACTCACAAGATTATTAAACCTAGAAAACTCCCCATGGGGCCAAAATATAACAGAAGCCACTAGCAAGATCAAAAGGTTGAGATGATTTACACACTGATGAATGCCATCAAATACTGCAGTCTAGGGGCGAAGCTAGAAGCCGATGTACGAGTTCAGCTGGAACTAGAACCCATAAAGTTCAAATCCTGGCTCCGCCTCTATCCATGCCCTGCTGAGGCTGCCAATAGAACGATGCACTTCTTCTTTTTAAGTACCTCTACGTTGAACCACGGATTATCCCCGTGCGAGTTTGATATTTACATGCCTTGAGATTTATAAGATATAGTATTGAAATTGCTATGTACATTGGATAAATTTGATATGTTTGTCAAAGTTATGTAATGTGTTTATATGTATCTTGTTATCTAATTTTGTACTCAAGCTTTAAAACATTGAAGGATCATTAGATGAAAAGAGAGTGAAATGTTCTTTTTCACAATACAAGAATTGAAGTTATTTTAAAGTAGCAAATCCACTTTCTAAGTAATCTTAGTGTGTGTAATATCACTAGTTATATGATGTAGGTTGTAAACTTGGTATTAACTGATATTCATCTCCTCTAATTTGGGATGTGTATAAAGAGACACTTAAATATGTATAGAATTGAATAAATAAATATATCATATATTTGTTCTACGTGACAAAAATATATTCAGATGTGCATTATCAATCAGATATACATTCAGATTTAGATGTCTTAATATATAGTAATGAAAACAATAAATGAGGCCTTAGTTTAATTCCTTTTTAGCCTCTACAAAAGAATGGAAATAAAAAGTACAACAGTAGATATAGTGTTCCATATTCTTCATATTAATTAATTTGTAATAATGACATGATTTAGATCTGATTTTCATCAAGATTTTTCCTATTATAAATAATTATATCTCTATTACTGCAATCGCCTTAAATTCTATTATAAAAAGATAAGTGAAGTGACTATTTTTTTTATTCACTAAATAAAAAATAAATTCTTCATTAATGGAAAATTTAAGTTTATCTTTTCATTGTTCCATTGCTTACATTTTTGGTATGTATACACCTACAATTACTATTTTCTCTTCTAATAATTGAGTGTATTCCGTTAGATAGAATCTAGTAATTTTGTCCCGATCTTATACATTCCTAATTGTGTTATGATATGTAATATATTATATACTACATTAAATAATACTTGTCATGTTTCATTTTACAACGATTTTCGTAACTCAGGTTCTCTCAACAAATGCTCAAACTGTATGTCCTTATGAAGTTATTAATTTTCCTTGTACTGAAATAGAATTACCAGGTTGTCAATCACGTTGCCAGATGGAATTTGGAGAAAATTATATTACTGCACATTGTGTGTTAAAAAAGTTAGGAATTGCAGCTACTTGTGTTTGCTTCTACAAGAGTGACAAACCATGTCCACCACCAAATATTTATTAGAAATTAATTAATTACATACTTTGTTATGGAAATTTAAGTAATAAGATTATTATATGGATGAGAAATTGGTTTTGTTAGGTTTATTATTTGTATGCTCTTTGATATGTGTTGTCTGAGCCAGAAGTCTTTTAGAAACAGATTTGTATATATTTTATATTTTTCAAAGTACATTAGTGTAGTAGATTATATGGATGAGAAACTGGTTTTGTTATGTGTATTGTTTGTAGGTTCTTTGATTTGTGTTATCTGAGTTGGAAGTCTTTCAAAAACAAATTTGTGTATATTTTACTTTTTTCAGGGTATGTTAGTGTAGTAGATTATATGAATGACAAATTGGTTTTGTTATGTCTATAGATTGTATAGTTTTTGACATGCGTTATCTGAGTTGGTGTCTTTTAGAAACAATCGTTTTACTTTCAAGAATTAAGGGTAAAATCTATGTACACTTTACTTTTTTTCAGATCTCAGATGAGAAAATTACATTGAGTATATATATGTTGTTATTGTAGATTATATGGATGTGTGTTGTTATCGTAGATTATATGGATGAGAAATTGGTTTTGTTATGTCTATTATTTGTATGTTCTTAAATATGTGTTATTTGAGTTGGGGTTTTTCGAAAGCAATTTCTAACATAATGTGATTCACATATAACTATGTGCTGATTCATCTGAGTTCATCAGGCAATAACATGTGTTATCAATGTTAATATTAAAAGTGAAAAATGCTTAATTATTTTTTTCTTTTTCCCTATGTATTAATTTCTATTTAGGCATATATAATTAAAATTTAAAATATAAAAAGTCTAACTTCTCTTTAAGTCAATTTTCCAAAAACAAAAGGGGCAAGAAAAAGAAGACTAACACATAATTATGGATAAGTCAATCTCACCCTTATTCAAATTGTAAAAATACTTAAAAGATTTATTATTATTAGACTCCCTCTTAAATTAGAAAAAAATAATTCTCCGTTTCAAATTAGTTGTCATGTTTTCTAAAAATAAATTTAACTCATTTTTAAAGCTAAATTGGATTAGATCAACTCAATATTTACTATTTAAAATTTAAATATTAAAAACTATATAATAAGTATTGCAAGTAACAACTTTTCTCATTTTAATTTGATTAATAAAATATAATTTTAAAACGCTAGTTCAAGTTGACATATTTTATCTATCAAAAAAGTGAAACATGATAACTAATATAGAACGGAGGGAGCAAAATATTTTTAACTTATTGCTTTCCATATCCTACATATTAATTAATAATTAAAGGTAATTAATAAACTAATCTAACTTTGATTTTTCATCAATAATTTTCCTATTATAAATTATTATCTCTATTAGTGCATTCTCCTATATATTCTAGCATATATAAAAAGATTAGTGAAGTTGATACCTTTTATAGTCACTAAAATTTCTGCAATGGAAAAAATTAGTGCACATTTTCGTTGTTCCATTTCTCTCATTGCTTATATTTTTGGTACGTATAAACCTATAATTGCTATTTACTTCTGTGATTTATATATATGTGTGTGTGTTTTCCTACAATTTCAATCGAAATTTGATTTTTTTTAGAATTTTACGATGATGGATTGGAGGCTGGATTTAACTTCTATTTTTTTTGGATTTCAGGACTTCTGTAGATGATTTGAATTTTGTATACCTTATATTTATCTTTATCGATTCGACATAAACTCATATACGTATATTAACAATGTTTAAATTGCATAGAGTTTATAAGGATTGAGAAGTTGTTTAACTTAAGTAAGAATTATATATTAGTAGTATGATTTATCTAGACTTGATTTTACTTTGTTTTGGTTGAAAGTTTCTTGGAGCTTGAATGAATATTTTAATTGAAGATTGTGTTGTTGGCAAAATATATTTGATATCTCAAAAGAATGAAAATCCTTTTTCTTCTTGTAACTCCTACAATTAATTTTGGTCAAAAATGAGTATTGTCAAAACGTTTCAAGTAAATTCAATTTGGTATACTTACTAAATTGTACAAATGACTTTTATGACAATTATTAGCCATAAATTAATCATTAGTCCTTTTATCTTGAGAATATAATTAAATAATAAAAGTGTGCTTTCTCTATTAGCTTAAAGTTTTAGATGAGAGAGTCACGTTTTACTATGTGTCATAGCAACTCTCAGATCGAATCTCATCGCCACCCATATCAAAAAGAATTTCTACGTGCTTGATCCATGAAAAAAAATAAAGCACGCAGGGGGAGGGGTATTGAGAATATGTTCTCTCTAACAACTTAAGCTTTTAGATGAAATAATCACACTTCAACACTAAATTGTCTCATTTCCAAGATAAATTCTTCTTTCTAATATTCTATTGTGTTGAGTTTTATTTTTAAGAATCTTTGTTAGTTTCTGGTTTCTAGTTTTACACTAGAAAAACTTGTTGAATTTTGATGTATGTGACACCTACACCAGTTAAGAACAGTATCTTTGACATGCCTCAAGCTATAAGAATTCTCGTAATCAAGTATTTTCCACAAGATTTTCAACCTTTGTCAAAAACGAATTGAAAATCAAAAATTCAAATAGAAGTTTACACATATTTTATATCGAAAATATTGAGTTAAAAATAACATATTGTATATATCATTTTGCAGGTATTTTCATAATGACTCAAGTTCTCTCAACAAATGCTCAAACTGTATGCCCATATGAAGTTATTGATTTTGCTTGTTCAGATGCAGAATTACCACATTGTCAATCACTTTGCCATATTGTATTTGGAGATAATTTTGTTACTTCACAGTGTGTAGAGAAACAGAAAGGACAAGTTTTTTGTACTTGCTTCTACAAATATGACAAGCCAACATGTCCACCACCAAATGTAGAATAGAAAATTTACATATTTTTCTATGAATATTTTCATAATTAGATTATATGGATATGAGAAATTTGCCTGTTTTACTTTTATTTAAAAAGATATATGGATCGTGTTTGTGTTAGTTGATTACAAATAAGTTATTGTAGAACGATTTTTACAGTTAAAATTGATGTTATAAATAAACGGTTATGTGTTTTAATAGAAGTGTTAAAACTGATAATAATGAGTTGATGTATATAATTCAATGAAGCTATATTAATAATATAAATTTAAAGTGTGAATGTTTTGACTGTCTTTCATATCATTCGATAATATAGATTCACTAGTTGCTTTAAGATTGGAGTTTTAAATCTTTAGGAAATTCTTTTTCTTAATACCTTTGTTCTCCTTTCATCCAGACCTATAATAACATGGTGGTCTTTCTAATTCTATATTCAACTATATAATTTCTCTTATACTATATAGAAGGATCGATTTCTCTTTTCTCTGACACTCTCGAACTAATCATCGACTTTCTAGATCATGAAGCTAGCTAGGACCGAAACAGCTATCAATTACCAAGCTTAAGTTAACCTTTTAAGTTTGTTTATCTCTATTCTTTGTCTAACCAGATTTGTTGACGTCTACGCGTTGAGTATGAGTATATTTGTAGGGATTATTTATAAATGAATCTATATATTATTTCATGCAAGTATTAATAATACATAAATTAGTTATTCATGTATTTGTTATATATGAATATTATTTGATTTCTAAATTATAAATTACATACCAAATTTATTTTATATATCAATAATTTTTCTCCTAGCTAGTCAACTAGTATGCTTTAGTGTTCTTACTCTTGAGCCACACACAAACAGGTAGAGAAATCATGAACATGAAATTTGGATTTTTAACAGTCAATGGATTGGAAGATATGTTTATACCTGTGTTGAAAAACTGCAAGAGCACAGTTTTTTTGAAGAAAATTCATGCCCAAATTGTCAAGTTTTCTCTTTCACAGAGTAGTTACTTGGTCACCAAAATGGTTGAGATTTGTGACAAAAATGGAGAAATAGAATATGCAAAATTGCTATTCAAACAAGTTGAAGATCCAAATAACTATTTATACAACTCAATAATCAGAGCTTATACACATAAACAAAGATATATTTCATGTATCAATGTGTATAAGCAAATGATGATATGTACAATTTCTCCCGATGAATATACTTATCCATTTGTTATTAGATCATGTAGTGCAATTTTGCGTGTTGATGTAGGTGAACAATTTCATGTTCATGTATGGAAATTTGGGTTGTATTATAGTAATGTGATAGCGAATTCGTTATTGGATATGTATGTTAAATGTGATCGAATGAGAGATGCACATATGGTGTTTGATGAAATGTCTGATAGAGATGTGATTTCGTGGAATAGTTTAATTTGTGGACATGTAAGGTTGCGTCAAGTGAGGAAGGCGAGAGCATTGTTTGATGTAATGCCGGATAAGAGTATTGTTTCTTGGACTGCTATGATTTCGGGGTACACGAAAACGGGGTGTTATGGAGATGCTTTGGATGTTTTTAGGAGGATGCAAATGGTTGGGGTGAAACCGGATTGGATTAGTTTGGTTTCAGTTTTACCTGCTTGTGCGCAACTTGGAGCGCTTGAGTTAGGGAAGTGGATTCATTTCTATGCGGAGAAGTATGGGTATTTGAGGAAGACTTCTGTTTGTAATGCATTGATGGAGATGTACGCGAAATGTGGAAGTGTAAACGAGGCTTGGCAGTTGTTTAATCAGATGTCTGAAAGAGATGTGATCTCCTGGAGTACGATGATTGGTGGCCTAGCGAATCATGGTAGAGCTCAAGAAGCGTTGAAGTTGTTTCATGAAATGCAGAGGTCTGCTGTTGAACCGAATGAGATCACTTTCGTTGGTCTTCTATGTGCTTGTGCGCATGCTGGTCTGTGTGATGACGGTTTGAGGTACTTTGATTCCATGAAAAACGATTACAACATAGAGCCCGGGATAGAGCATTATGGTTGTTTGGTTGATATTCTTGGGCGTACAGGACGTCTTGAACGAGCTCTTGCAATCATCAAGACCATGCCGGTTAAGCCTGACTCTGCAATATGGGGTTCTCTGTTGAGTTCTTGCAGAACTCATCGCAATCTTGAAATAGCAGTTATTGCAATGGAACATCTGTTAGAGCTCGAACCGGAAGATACAGGGAACTACATTCTACTCGCCAACATTTATGCAGATCTCGGAAAGTGGGATGGAGTATCAAGGATGCGGAAGTTAATTAGAAGTAAAAGCATGAAGAAAACACCGGGCTGCAGTCTGATTGAGATAAACAGTTTGGTTCAAGAATTTCTATCAGGTGATAATTCGAAACCATTCTCAAAAGATATCCATGAGGTGCTAGAGCTATTGGCCTTACATCAAAGCAAAGAAAATGATCTAGTTGATACAACGCTCGAGTACTTAAGTCCATGATTATATCGAGGAGAAGTTGTCATTCTGAGTGCATACGCTCTTTTCTTGTTCAAGTTTTTAGCACATTCGTTATGTGTGGAAGTTCCAGGAGGAGTAATTCAGGTTTGTGGGATAAGTAAAGAGGGGAATCGTGATGAACTAGAAAGCACATATGTGAGCCTGGAAGTCTAGGCCAGACACGCAACAGAGTTCGATGGTGTTCTATTTACATAACATAACATGCCTGAAATGCGATTCTACGAATACAAATTTCACTGATTTCCCTGGCATTGGTGACAAAGGTACATACTGCATCTTTATGAGTAAACATAGGATTGAACCACTAGCAATCCACATACAATCTACTAGTAAACAACTCACGACGTGATTTGCTTGTTGCCTTCAAAACAACGAGCAGGTCATTGTCGACATGTCTGCTTGCCCGTGTGAATGCATCATCAATCATCTCACCAATTGACCTGCCAATGACAATGTGTTGATCTTCTGGTTCTTACTTGTCTATGTTCTATCACTGTGCATGATTTCCAAGCCTCTGATCGATGTTATTCGTATAAGAAAAAGACGATGAGGGCATTTTCGGAAGTGAAATCAAAGCTCTTGCCAGAGAAAGAGAAATCACCATAAGAGGAATCTATATATGTTGCTGAAGCCCCAACCACAGAAGCTCACTCCTAACTGACTTAGATGCACCCAGCATAAGTTCTGTTTTATTGTAAAACAAATTATTACTGTTGTTCCTGTTTATGTGATACTACTTCCGTTTTAGTCTGCTTTAAAAAGAATGATTTATTTATATTTAGAATCAATTTAATTTTAAACTTTTCATGTCTGGTTGGACTATGACTCACACCTAATTAGCCTCTCAAATAAACTTCCTCTCTTTTCTCTCGAGGGACAATGAGAATCGAACTCACACCAGCACTTGGGCATGATGTTCAAGTGAATGATTTTTTTCTTCAAAATCAATAAATTTATCTTCGAATTTCAACAATAAAACACACAATTTAACACCCAAGTATACTTCAAATAAGATCAAATTTGAAACATAACACCACATCAAGCAATTTAATCCTGTGGATTTAATTTTTTAAAATTAAAGTCGTCTTGACGTTTGACCAGTCGTCTTGTGAAAAGTGTCTCTTTAAAAAAATATATTATACTTGTAAATAGTTGTAATTACGTATTTTCTGTCATTGCATATAACTTAAACTTTTATTTCTATATATGGAATCCTAATACAAATCATTAACTAAAAGGTAAAAAGAAATCCCTTTTCTTCACTAAAACAATTTCTTCAAAAATCCTATTTTCCTTAAAAGAATTATTTTCCTTTTATAAATTAATTAACTTATACGAAAATAAACCCTAATAGAAAGCCCTTTCAATATATTTCTACGCCACACTTCTCCAACCGCATCAGATATTAGACATAATGTCAAAAAAGAAATCCACTAATAGTGTTCCATGTGATATCCTAGTTTGCATTCTTACTAGACTTCCCGTTAAATCTTTATTACGTTTTCAATCTGTTTCTACGTCATGGAATGCTATAATCTCTACATATGAATTCAAGAAAACGATTCTTGATCAATCCAACGCGTTAGGACGTGTAAAGTGCTTGTCATCACAAGGATGTAGTTGGGATGAATTCAAGTTTATAAACTTAGAATATCCCAACGTTACAATAGAGGGGAAAGAATTTCCACTAAAAGGATTCGAAAATGCTAATGTCTTATGCTCATATAATGGATTGGTACTATTAAAGAACCCTAGAGCTTATAAGAAGTTTATTTTGTGGAATCCATCGACTAGACAATGCCAAGAGCTAGCATCATGTTCACATGTGAAGAAATATGTATTTCCTCGTGCTTGTGGGTTGTGTTATGATTCTACTACAGATGATTGCAAGGTTATATTGATTTATAACTCGTTTTATGTTGTTTGCTCGAACGGGAATTATTGGAGGAAGCAAACAAATCTCCCTATATTAAATCAAGTTCTTCCTACTATAGAACAAGAAACTAAATTTTGTTCATATGAATGGGCTGAAGGTGTTAATGTTGAGGGTTGTGTATATTGGTCTTTGCATCGAAAACTTCGTAAATTTGACTTGAACGTAAGTAGAAATTCTACTATTATATATTTTGATGTGAAGTCAGACGAACTGAAGATACTTCCAAAACCAAATTTCATACGTAGTAATGATGAGTGGTTTCGTTTGACTAATGTGAAAGATTGTCTTAGTTTATACGGTGGCATGGCAAGTAGTGACAATTTTGACCTAGACATTTGGACCATGGACGTAGATGGTTGGAAATGGTTAATGAAACTTTGCAACGTACCAACAATATGTTGCAAACATTATTTTATTACACATACTAAGTTTTTGTGTTGCAAGGAGAATGGTGAATTGATATTTGTTGGACCAGGGCATCAAAATGTTTCCATTTATAATCCTAAACAACAACAATTTGTTAAAAAAGAGTATTTATATTGTGATGCAACATGTTTCGATAGCTTATGTTTTCCTAAAATCAATGTCATGATGAACAAGAGGAACAAGAGGAAGAGGAAGTAGCTCACTCACTTCTACATTCAAGAAGAAGACAAATTTATCGAAAGGAATGGCGATAGAGCGGGACAGGGTGAGGTAGGTTAACTCTTTCCTTGTTAGGGTTTGTTTCGTCATGTCTTATTTCGTTTAAGTTATTGTCTTAGTAAGTGTTGTCATGTCATGTTTAGTCACTTAACCCTTTATTTACGTATTTTTTGATTTTGTTATTATGGTTAAATGCTTCTTTATCTTTTTTATGTCATTTTCAACTTTTTTTTTCTTATTTTTTGCAGTTTTTAAATTTATTAGTTCTACAAATGTTGATCCATTTTGATTTTGAGGTTACTTATGTTAACTACCATGATTAATCATAGTGTAATATCAATGTGTGTGTGTGTTATATATATATATATATATATAGTACTCATATGTAAAATATAAATTGGTCACTTGGCATCTTAGTTTTCCAATTAGTATTGATTTAGTGATGAAATTAATTTAATAAAACTCACTTAGTTTTCCAATTAGTATTGATTTAGTGGTGAAATTAATTTGACAAATGACATATATATATATATATATATATATATATATATATAGTACTCATATGTAAAATATAAATTGGTCACTTGGCATCTTAGTTTTCCAATTAGTATTGATTTAGTGATGAAATTAATTTAATAAAACTCACTTAATTTTCCAATTAGTATTGATTTAGTGGTGAAATTAATTTGACAAAAGTCATTTGATTTGATTCAATATTTAGAATTCATTTGGAACAAGTGGCAAAGTTGTAGCACCAAAGGTTAAAGGAGATAGAGTTGCATTTTAGGAATCGTAAACCAATCTATGGTTGGTCATATCAACTCGTAGATTGACACATTTCTATATTTAGTAACAATTTAATTTTAAAATGTCTATTTTATTCTTATGGAATGATTTATAGCCACACAAATATTGAAAATATGTCCTTCTTTCTTTAATTTCGAGTCAAATCAAACTACATTAAATAAATTAAGACGAAAGAATGGAGATTTTTGTGTCGTACTAAATAATAAATATATTGCATAGCGGCCAATACACAATAAATAATGTCTCTCAGCATATGACGAATTAGGTGTCCCATGACGATCTATGAGTCTTTTTTCCATGCCACCAAATTTGCATCATTTGAAATTCAGAGTAAAACGTTATGACCATTTTACCAAAAACTATCCTAACGTCTTCTAGAACTAAAAGTCAAACTATATAACTCTTATTATTTGATATGATAAAATTTCACGTCTTCTAGAACTAAAATTCAAACTATATAGCTCTTATTATTTGATATAATAAAATTTCTCATATTTGCATAAATATAAGCACTCACATAAGATGACAAATAATTTTGTGTAATCAAACATTTTTTCCATAACTCTAAACTGTACACTTTCTAAGCAATTTTCAAATATTGAATTTCTAACGCGAATCATGAATTCTATTCAAGAAATATTTTTTCATAATAACTTTAATAATATTATAACATATATACAAATTTAAAAACAGACAAAAATAATTAATATTGATTTAACTAAAAAATTAAAAAAAGTTTGTTAGGTAAATTCTCCTATATTTATATATTGGTCAACATAATGATATTGTCATAATTACTTGTCATTAAGAAAATCTCTAGTATTAAATATTTCTGTTACTACCATTTACCTACAATCTCTTAAATTGTAGTATAAAAAATGATTGAACAGACTATTTTATTCACTAAAAAATACTCATCAATGGAAAACTTTGGTCTCTATTCTGTTTTTCTCATTACTTACATTTATGGTATGTATATACAATTTATAATTTCTATTTGCTTTTCAACTTGAACCATAATTGTTTTCTCATTTGTGTCAAGTTTCTTTTTCATTGCACTAAAATAAAAATAAAAGCTTTTTTCTTCATTGATTTTTTCCTTCTTGTGATTTTTGTACTTATACTAATTAAAGAGAAAGCGATCGATCGTATTATAAATAAAACTATAGAAGATCAAGATTTAAATTCTCGATCCATTGATTTTGTATTTCAATGCTATGGATAAATTTTCTTAATATTTATTATTTTTGTTTTTGCAGCTATGTTGATAATGACACAAATGCCCTTAACAAATGGGATTGTATGTGAAGCAGAACTTCAAATTCCTTGCAAGGATGGAAATGTATTATATTGTGGCTCCCTATGTTACGATAAATATGGAGAAAATTATATGTCAACAGAGTGTGTGGAGAAAATTGTAGGTTACCCTATGTGTGTGTGTGTTTACAAGAGTGAGTATGGTTGTCCACCAAACCAAAAATAATATTAGAAATTGTATAATTTTTTTCCAAAAAATAATATCATGATAATATTTATCTTTATCAGATTATATAATTTATAAAGAGATGTTGAGAAAACCACTTTATTTGATTGTTATTTTTTCATGTCTTAAGTTGAATTTGTTAATTATATTTTAATTTTTTACTTTCTTTGTTCATTTTTACTTGTTTAATATTGACTTGACACTTAACTTGTTCAAATATTGACTTGCACATGACTTTATGGAGTAATAAATAGAATGGCAATTTTATTATATCACTTTTCGAATATAATAAATTCAATTATTTGAAAAATGCATTCAGAAGTGAATATTGTTAAACTAGATAGTTATATTTTGAAATTTTAAATTAAATAAATACATTTTAAGTATAGTGGATATGTAAAAGTGGACGGAGGAAGTCGTATTTTTTTACGTAGTTTTCAAATATATAAATTTTATTTTAAAAATATAAAGATTATATATTCAAATCCATGGTTTATATAGAAATAATTAACTCTCGAAATACGAACTATACTACATAAATTATAAATTGAGACTTCGTATATATGATTTTAAAAATCTTTTCAAAGCAACAGATAAATAAGAATACTACACATATCATGTTGTAATTTTTCAAAATATTTTGATTAGACAAATTAGAAGGTTAGATCACAAATAATTTTTACAATTATGAGACTGAAGAGAAGAAATGTTTAGACTTTGACTTTTTCGTTATTTTTTTTTACTCAATAGAGTTCTGAATCTTTTTCATTATGTTTTGTCTTCCACTTTTATTATATAGTTTTTAATAAGATTATTAAATACTCCAATAGTTTTCAATAGTACTTTTATCCTATGCAATTTTCTATCATGATAAGATTATTAAATACTCCAATAG